ATTTTCTCATATTTCTCATACTTATCATATGTTCTCATATGTTCTCATAGATTCTCATAGTTTTTATCATATGTTCTCATAGTTTCTCATATTTCTCATACTTTCCCATATGTCTCATAGGTTTATCACGTTTCTCATAGTCCCTAGCATTTACTTCTGGCAAGGTCTCATATGTTCTCATAGTTTATCATGCATTTCCCACATGTTCTCATATTTTCTCATAGGTGCTCAGGAGGGAAATGTGACAAGACATGCAAGTATAGGAAGTTGCACTTCCCATGTTTGCATCTCTTGGCAGGTTTCCCATTATGAGCTCATCAGTGCAATGGTAAAGTCCACTGATGGCAAGTAACCATGTGTGCGTGTGTCCAAATAGAAACTGTCGAGTGAGAAGTGTGTGAAGAACACATTGCAAGCCAACAAGGGGCATCAAGGAGCCACATGATACATCCATGCTTATCATGTGTGAGTGTGTCCCAGACAGCTCCTGCATATGTTCTCCGGCATTCCCCAATTGTCTTTCCCACGTGTTCTGGCATGCCTCTCATGCTCCCCCGTTTCCCCATTTCAAACGCAGTTACATTTCTCAGATGTCTCATATACTTGTCGCATATGTGCTTCATACTTGTCTCATATGTTTCTCACATGCTTCTCATATGTTCAAAATGTTCATGCGTGTCATATGAGACAAGTATGATCATATATGTTTGCATATGTTCCTCATATGGTGTGCATATTAGTATGTTATCATGTTTGCTCACACCTTTATCATATTTTCTCAAGTACAGGTCACATAAAGCTATGAGAACACTTGGGAATCTTGAGACATGTGTGTCTTCACAAGTGTCTCACAGGTTTCTTATAGCTTCTCAGTTCTAGCATGTGAATTTTCTCATACGATTGTCATACTTTTCTCATATGTATCCCATATGTGCCTTTCATGCAGAGATCATGCAAGCATCAATGCGTGCAAACATCAGAGTGCACAAGGTCCAAATGGGTGAGTGTAAGCAAGCTTTAGGAAAATGAAGGCCCCAACAAAAGGCAAACACCCAAGCAGTGCCACGCAGGGTGCCTGTAATGGCTGCAAGGCAATGTGGCTGCACATGCAAGTTGCTACACTAGCTGCTACACCAGCTGGGCGAGAAGACATTGATTGCTGTAATTATAAGGGCTGCACTGAACCCTCATTGGCCAGTTATGGGCCACACACTTGGCCCCAGGCATGGCCAATGATGGTCCAACAGTCCTCAGGCGGCTGTCAGAGTCAGAGCGATCATGCGTGATGCACATGTGGCTTGCTCTTTGCGGGCACTGAGTACTGGATGGGCTTGTCAGTGTGGCCAAAGCAAGCATGCTGCAGGTGTGAGATGCATGACATGCTCTGGCTGAGGCCCTAGCATAGTGCGAGGGCTGCCTGGCAGGCACCAGTGCGACGGATTGTGCATGCCATGAATGATCAGCAGGCTGAAGCCGGGCATTGCACTTTTCCCCCTCTGCCACATCCATGGGCCCTTGAGACCACCAGACCCACTCTAGCCACTAGAAGGCTGGAGTGCAGCACTGGATCCTACTTGATCCCATAGCCTTCACGCCTGCCACGTCTGTGAGACGAGCTGTCTCACATCTTGGGAAGGTGTGAGGTAGTGCCTTAGTGCGCAAGGATGGTGGCAAGGATGCGTGATGTGCGAAATGTATTTGAAGAATGTGCATGCTGTACTGTAAGCCAGGAAGCTGGGTGCAGTCACGGCACCAGCCTTTGCAGCCAGTCCACGACCGCTCTGCCAGGTGCTGCAGCTCCACCTCATAGAGCTGGCCTCAGGCTGACACATCTATGCAAACGTGCCAAGCGCCAAGCCAACATGCAAATTGCACTGAGCTGCTTTTCAGCAGCCAGTGGACAATGATTGCTGCAGCAACGCTCCGGTGTCTACCAGCACTGCAGGCAAAGCAGAGGCTGAAGGTCTGTGGCGTCTTGATCACCTTGAGCCACTGGAGCCAGCAAAAAAGCCCCCTCCTCAGTTAGCGCCAAGTAAGTTTGACAAAGGTTCGTCTGACTGAAACCCGCGCCAGCAAGCTCTGAAGCCAGGGGGCAGCATGACAGCAAACTTGGGATGCTGGGCAATCCTCAGCTGAATGACGGGGTTCGTGCCCATGTGCCTGGTGTCCCTCGCCGGATCGTGGAAGGCATGCAGCGGGATCACCAGATCAAACATGGCATAGGTCTTCTTGTTTGAGAGCTGAGCTAGACCAGCTGAATAGACCTGCGCATCAGGGATTTGGCGGCCACACTCACCCCGCAGAGCAATATGCTTATTTTCTGGACCCCCCAGCCTTGACTTTGTGTGGCTTTGGCATGGGCTTGGGCTGGGGTCTTATCTTTGGTGCTGCCCTTGAAGTGGCATCATCATCATCATCATCACTGCCTGGATCAACTAGATCCACTGGATCTGGGGTGGCTGGATCCTCCACTAGGTCGGCTGGATGCTCTGGATCCACTGGATCCTCTGCGTCGCAGTCACTGACTAGGTCCACTTCCACTAAATCTGTTGGATCTGGGGTGGCTGGATCCTGTGGATGGAAGTCCCTGACTGTGTCCGCTAGATCCACTGGATCCACTAGATCCTTGGTTGGAAGCACTGGGGCGGAGGCTGGCTCAATTGGACTGTTCTCTTGCTCAAAAGCCTCCATCACCTCTCTCCGGTTCTCCTCCAACCACTCCTGGACCTGCCTGTGGATGACTTCTTCCTCAGCCATAGGACAGGGTTTGAGTGTCAGGCAAGGAGGGCTGGCTCAAAAGTCAACAGCCCCTGTCGCCAGGTGACAGCTTGAAGTCGCCCAGCTGGTACTGGCTTCAGCAGCACCGGGATAAAGTCAGGCGTCACCCTCACCGGCAGGCGTCCTTCGGGCAACCCACAGGGGAGACTGCAAAGCACAAAGCGCGCCCTGTATGTAACAGAATCACACACTAGCCAAGCCTTGGGTGCAGTTTGGGCAGGACAAGGGCAGGGTCCTGGCTCACAGGGAGGCTCAACGTTCTCCCGCTGCGCCAGCTCTCGGTACTCCGCCAGGCACTCCAAGGAGATTCTCCCCGGCAAAAGGCAAACAACCATGGCTGTCGGGAGGGGGGTAGATGTGCTGAGCTGCTGTGCCTGCTGAGTGCCTGCTGTTTGCTGATGAGTGCCTTGCAGAAAAAAAGAGCTGCTGCAGCATGGGCCAAATAGCAGGCAATTTAGTTGCAGGCTGCACCTCAACTCTCTTCAAGTGCGCATGCTATCATGCACTAGACCTGCATGCTGCCCACCCCAGCCTCTCAGAACATCTCGCTGTGCTCCTCAGCTATGCCTTGGAAAGCGGAACCGATGCGCACAGGGAAGGGCCGCTGCCATATAAGGGAAAAGTGAGAAGAAATGCAAGTGTGAGATGCTACACTTCCCATAGTTGCATCTCTTGTCAGGTCCCCTCATGAGCTTTGCAGTGCAGCGCAAACACCGTGTTCAATAGTGACACTGTCAAGTGAGAAGTACGTGATGAACATATCGCAAGCCAAAGGGGGGCATAAAGCAGCCACACGATATGCATGCTTATCTCATGCATGCACTGCTCCTCATAATGTCTCGCACTTATGCAACGTGCTCTGACAGGCACCTCATGTCCCCCGCACTTTTGTATGTGTCTAACACACGGACATGTCTCTCATATGTCTGTCATAGTTTCTCATATTGTTCATATGTCTCATAGTTTATCATATTTATCATAGTTTCTCATATTTCTCATATTGTATCATATTTTCTCATACATCCCATAGTTTCTCATAGTTTCTCATATTTCTCATAGTTTCTCATATTTTCTCATATTTCTCATAGCTTCTCATATTTTCTCAGATTTATCATATGTTCTCATACTTCTCATAGTTTCTCATATTTCTCATATTTCTCACAGTTTGTCATATTTTCTCACGCGCGTCTCATAGTTGCTATCATATGTTTCTCAGATGTGTCTCATGCGTCTCTCATATGTGTCATCAAATATGCTACATACTTTCTCACACATTTCTCATACACACGTTCTCACACGTGTCTGACATGTCTGTCATACACTGGCATTATGCCACAAGCTATTTGCTTTCAACAAGTCTACCACTCAGACTCAAGCACATAGCCGTGGTGCATAGGAGTCATATAGTGTCAGCCATGCACTCAAACATGATTGCGCAATGCAAGCATGAGGAGGCCCGCCCGGGCTTCGTCATGTTTGAATTGTCAGTCATGCTGGCATGCTGCTGCCCTCTCATTGCCTGGACACTCTTTATGACACGCTGCTATTGCAAAACGATTACGTCACAGAAAGTGCGCCCCACTCATTAATTAAGCAAAGAAGTGTTTCCTTACAGGTAGGGTCCATGCTGGCTACAGAAACACACCCTCACTGTGACCAAGACTCATCTTGTGTGTGCATGCACTCTGAGGTTTGGTCAGCTTGCCATAGTCCATGCAGAGGCCTGGGCCGGGGGAAGGGGGGCACCACTACCCATGAGCAGCCAACGCTGGCCCAGGATGCTCCATGAGCTTGCTGAGTCTGAGGAAATTGTTGAAGCTGGTTTACTTGACCCTGTGGTTTACATATATTGCCACTTTCAGCCCAGTGCAGAGCGCCCTGTTTTCTCCTCCCACGTGATACTTGAAGCAAACTTCAGCCATGGTAAGGGCAGGTGTCCAAGGGCATGCCACCCAATATGAAAACCAAAAGAACATATTGGATACCTACTAGGAGCCCGAGACCCAAAATATAAGGGCCTTCACAAAGTGCCAGGAGTTGGGGTCAGTAAATGAGGTTTGGGACAAGAATGATGGATTCAGACACCCCCAACACCCTAATGGAGGGTCCAATGATCCTCATACCCCTCTGACTCCCCGCAAGCTCTCTCAAAGTGGACCAAGCAAAGGGGTGCTGCCCAATAAAAGTGGTGCTCTGGGTTTTGACCCACGCCATGTGATCTGCTAGCAAATCACAGTGCCCCCTCCCTAAAAAGAGGAGGTTGGTGTTGGCTTCCCCTTGGTTTTCCTGTTCTGGCAGATCCTGTAAGGGTCACGACTCCTAGGGTTATGCAACAGTGCCTACTGGGTAGCAAGATGGTCCAGTGGTCCAGTGGTAAAGTTTTCCAGTGGCTTACTGGACCACTGCACCAACAAGCAAACTCACAGTTGATGTTTCTCTGAGTTCAGCACTGCGCAGGCAGTAGCTCTGCCTTGCCTGGCGTGGCATTGGCCCCCTTTCAATGCCATGCCTTTCCATGTGGCCCTGCTACTCCCCCAATGTGTCATCAAAGCTTAAATAGCAAAACTGTGGCCCTTCCTGGCACAACCTTTGGAGGTGTCTAATAATTATAAGAAGCCATGCGCTCTGAACCATGCAGCTGTACTCGCAAATGCGCCAGGCAGACCTCCTCATGCTGCAGGGCAAGCCGCTGCAGCTGCTGCTTGCGCCAGGGCATGTTCCATGTTGGCATGTAACATGTGCTTTGGACATGCAACTCCTGTGCTCAGCTCTTCAGCACAGGAGTTTCATGTCAGAAGCACATGTCAATCTTCTCAGTAATATGAACATGCACACACAGAAGAAGCACACATGTAACCAATGAGGGCAAACAATGCACCACATGCGTGTCGCAACCATAGTGCCTACTCACCCAATGCTCACTGTATTGTAACCATATCAAGCACTTAATCAACGCACATGTGTGGAAGCTATGCAGGCAACTTACCAACCCTCATGTGTGTAGCGATGATACTGGATGTGCATGAGTCTGCGGATAATGGCTCTGTGCTCCTCACATGCTTCTCATGTGTTTGCTAGAAACACATGTGAAGCATCTGAGAAACACTGGGCACTGAAATGCGCATGGTTTTATGGCCAATTCTTGGCTTATGGTAAACACGTACATGGCATGATTATGCCGAATTGTTGTGCCAAAATGGTCTGATTTTCCCCCATAATGTGCGCATATGCTGTATACCAGTTACCTTTTGCTAGTATACCACTTCCATGGGTCAGAGTTTTAATACAACAATTCTCGGAGACCCCAGGGACGAGTTCTGCCCTCTGACAGGCAAAATGTAAAATTGTATGCCGTTTGCTCCCGACCCTTTATCTTGCTTGGGTTGTTCAGTAAAAAATAACAGATACAGGGTTGGGCAAAACCTTGTTTTTGTTCGTTTAATAAAAGCCGGGGCAACGGGTTGGGCAAAACACCTTACTTACCCTTTCTGTTGTTCTTCTCTTGAAACAAAAATACAACATCCGCGCTTAACTACTACTCTGCCGTGATGAGAACTCTAAATTCCAAACAAAACAATGGCTTCCTCCCTAAACAAAAAGAAATGTGGCGAGCCGCCCATGGCCAGTGCTGCCGCCAGCTGCACCCCTGTGGCCGTGCCTGGCGGGCGTCATGGACATGGTTCAAACCCAGGCTAGCTCAGTGGACAAACCTATTTTTGCAGGCCCCTGCTCAAAGAGGAAAGAAACAAAAGAAACAAACAACTTAAATAATAAAAACAAAGACATCCACAGTGAAGTGATGCCCCTTGCATTTGTAAAAAAAAGGTGGTTTCAACTACCCCCAAGACCATCCCTGGGGCTGAATGTATAAACCACGCGAAGCCTTAGGGGCTCCACGTCAGTCTCACTTCCGCGGAATGGATTGAACAACATGGGTTTCAACGGCATGATTTAGAGTTTTTGCAATAGTTTAATTGTCCGCGCGTGTGCTTAGTGTTGGTGCGTTCTTCGAACTGGATGGCTTTATGGCAAACTTCAACTATTGCTTGAAGAACGGGATGTGTTTTCCGACACTTTCCTGGAATTTGCTGGCTCAAAGTGTTCCTACTAGTGTTGTCTGCTGGCTTCGAAGATTGGATGAATATGTTGCTTTTCAAAAAGGGATGATTCAAAGGTCGAATTGTCCTGGCACCGGTGGGAAAATGGATGGTTGGGACGTCAAACCGAATTGGAAGCAAAGCAATGTGCAAATCGCGTCGCAAGAACTAACAACACCCTTCATGTTGGATAATAACCATGAAAGCTTCAAAGCAAATACCAAAAAACAACCATATATTCTTACTTGCTCAACGGACTTGGACATGTGTGCCCTGGGTCAAAATTCGCAACTCACTTGGCCACTCATCAGTTGCCCCTAGCGTGCCAACCCCGCTTCAGCAACGCACTTTGCTTTTGTCTACCAAGCAATACCGCGAACACCCAAAACACGCAAAGAGCAGTGAGGTAGTAACACCTAGCAACATCAGCGGGCATGTGGCGCAGGGCAAATGAGCAAGTTGTTTCTGAGATGGATCAAAGAGATGTGGTTCTGCTGATTGCTTGAGTGTTGTCCCGGGGCTCCCCCCCTACTCTGATTCTCATGGAACCTGAAAGAAACACCCATTTTGGGGGACCATCAGATCCATCATTGTTCAGGGGCGGGGTACGTGATTTTGTTTGCTTGTTTTTTGTTTTTCTTTTGTTGTTGTTGTTGTTTTGTGCTTGTTTGTTGTTTATTTATGTTTCTTTCTTTTTTGTTGGGGGGGAGGTCACCATGAGAGCATGCTATCATCTCACTCCTTACCCCTAGCTTCAGAGTTACTCCCGACCGCCTCCACTGGCCACGAAGGGGATCTTCAACTCCTGGCCGGCTGACACGTCTCAGCCCGGGTCCCTCAAATGGAGTCAAAACTTCGGCCCTGTCTGGGTGTGTCTTGGGGGGTCCCCGACAACCAAGCACTCCTTAACCACGGCCAGGCCGACAAAAAATGGGCCCGCCCGAAAAAGGGCCTGCGTTTGGCCAATGGGTGGCCAAGAGCCACGAGCTTGCTCTTGGGCGGGGAACCCCGTGAACGTGCCAAGTCACAAATGTAACAACAATTCGCGGGCGGCCGCTGCTGCATGCTGTGGAAGGCTTAAGTTGTTGCCTGCAATCATAAAATCAAAACCGATCGGCGTCAAAACATGGTGAACCCAAACCAATTCAGATGCATCAACAAGTCTCTGGCCGCACCATTTTCTATTGGGGCCGGGGTTGTCCGGATCGGTTTCGACGTGGCTCTTACGTTCAAAGAGGCTTCTGGACTCAAAGCTTCAAAAAACAGCGGGAAAGCAAAGTCAGTTTACGCCCCGACTTGCTGAAAAAGCGGTGCCAACAAACAAGCAGTCTGAGAATTGGTCGGGGTGCTTGGTTCTCACACATGGGTGTGGCTCAAACTTAAAGAGATAGGGCTACGCGGGTTTTAGTCTTTAGCTCCATTTGCCTAGGTGCCATTGGGGTACATTTTATTGAGCCACAGCCAAATCGCAAGCTCGATCCAAATCCAACAGCCTGACCTCTCACCCACCCCAAGCCCCAAGCGCCTGGGAGGCCTGGGCCAAAAGCACCCAGTTCCCCACGTCCTCCTCGCCTGGCGCCCGAAAAAAAACCGCTGGCCGCCTCGCTCGGCCGCCTCTTTGGGCCCTGGGTTCTAATTTTTGTCCCGTGGGAAAGATGTCATGGCTCGCAAGGGAAAGATATGTAGCGGGGAAGGAGCCGCCCCCCGAAGGAAAAGGAGCATGATCCATACATTAGTTACGGGTGGAGACTGGTGGAGGTGGAGATGGTGCATGCATTGAGACTTTAACTCTGTGTGTGTTTCGTCCAAGTTCTTTGGGGTCTTCGTTGCGCAGGGGTCGTAAAAGAGTTCTTCCCAGCTCCCCACTGAAAACCAGAAGAAATTGTTTTAAGAAAGTAACCACCAACACACCACAATATACCTGTGCGGCTCAGGTTTAAATAGCCCGCCAGCTGCACATAACCCTGTTTATGCCGAGACATAGATCCCTTTTGGTAGACCTTTCTTGGTGGGTCGCCTTAGGCACCTAGGCACCATTCTTGCAGGTACTGGATTTGAGCCCCCCCCAACCGAAGTTGAAAACCATGGAAAGCCTTTGACTCTCGGGCAAGGGCACCAAACAAAATTGGGGGGGGCAAACAACTGGGACCTAAAACCCGTCAACATCCGTCAACCACATTTCAAAGTTGTCTTTCTCCTCTCTTCTAACTCAGTTGTCCAAAAGACTCACAAAAAAAGAAAGTGCACCTTCTAGGGCTGTGACAAAAATGGCCCAAAAGGGGGGAAGCTTAACTGTCAAACAGGTCGATTTGCTTTGGGCAACCGGGGTGGGCTTCCTTCCCTCGCCTAAAGCCAAGTGAGTTGTCGCAAGACATCCGTTCGCCTGGATGACCTCCGCAGTCAAAGCCATCCATGGAGATCATGTCCGCACCTCGGTTCGTCTGGGGCCGTGAAGCCGCACAACCCGAACCTTTGGGTCTGGCACTCGTTTCTTTCTTTTGTTTGCAACATTCTTTGAAGTGGTTTCAAAAAGCAACAAGGACAACCCACCGTTTTCTTTTTTGTTTAACAAACAAATAAAACGGGGGGGGCGGTTCCCCTTGGAGCTTCAGTCATAGGCAACATGGGTTCCACCTTTTGGAGGACTCGCTCGACTCGCCGGGCGTCCATCGGTGCATCTGAGGTCCGCAGCCCATCCTCTGGGCGGTAATCGCATGCCTCACCGCCACACACTTGTGGATCACGAACATCCCGGCCTCCTGCGTCACGCGTGACATCGTGTGACCATCGTGTGACCCATGGGGCTTGGTGGTGTGCTTATGCTCCTTTTTCCTTTCTTGGCAGGCCTGTACCCCTGTCGCGTGCTGCTGTCTTGTTGCCGTTTTCGTGCGGTGGCTTTGCGCGCGCGCGCGCAAAAAACAAAGAGAGAGACTGTACCCCCTTTCAGGTTGTCCTTCGTTGGATTGGTGGTTTGGATTTGAGGCCCTGGTGCTTGTAGAGGGCTGGGAAAGCCCTCCACCATGGAACCTGATGTTTCGGGGTCCTGGTTTTGACTATCTTCTTTCAAAAACACCCCCGCTGGTGGGTTTCACGTTAGTGGAGAGGAGGGCATCCGAAAAGAGTGGGCAGCAAAAGGAGCCCAAGGAGTGTAAATAGTGTATCCCAAAAAGCAAGCGTACCAGTACCACAAGAGTGCTGAAACAAATTCAAACATACAAAACAGAAAGTTGAACTCAAGAGAAAACCTCTACATGAGCATCCAAACCGTTTCCTTCTAATTGGGCAGACTGTGTCTGCAACCTACAAAAACGCTTCTTGCGCTGAGTGGGGGCCCTTGAGCTACTACAGGCTTAGAACAAGTTCGGCTAAAAGGACACCAGAGAAACCGAACTGGTTCGGTTTGTGGTTAAACTCTTCCCGACTTCGAGTCACCGAGTCATGGGTGGAAAGAACTTGCTGGTTGGATAGTCTTAATAGTGAATGAGGGAATGACCCCCTGTAAACCATTCGCCATGGTTTCCTTCACGGGAATCCGCAAACGGTTCATTCCCAGCATCCGGTCTCCGCCCCTATCGCACCAGGGAGAGAAATCCGAACCAGGCACACCCCCCAAAAAACCAATCGAGATCGGAGCCTCGCAAAGAAACCACACGGACAAACTCGAGCTAACGTTGTGGCCGGTGACTTGTTGGCAAAAAAAAGAGATGGATTTCTTTGTTAAATTGTTCAAACCCATCAGAAGAACCCGTCTATTGCTTGCTAAGAAAACTAAGAGATCAAAAGGACACCTATGCTCTCTACCCTTGCGGTTCCTCGGAGTGCCTCAAGATTCAACACGGTCCTTGCACTTCTTGATGACTTTGTCGGGATTCCTCCCGGCGGTCTCCACCACTTTGACCTTCTCTTCAATGAGCACCTCGAGCCACTTCTGCCAGTCCCTTTTCTTTACCTAAGTTCCACCCGTGATAGGTGAACTGGAAAGCACACCCTCAGTGGCTGACTCTGCAGAAGAATAGTGGAACATAATGAGACGCATTGGCAAATGGGTGCCCATAATTGACTCTATCTTGATCAATAGGACCCGTGGTTTCCTCTACCATCGTTTGAGCAAAGGGCACAACTGTAAGATAACAACTGGTGACCCCACAATTGATGGGGGAGGTGTTCGCCCATAATTGAATCAATTAATCACACCAGGAGTTGAAATTCAAATCCATCAAAGCCATCCGAACGATAAATGTATAATGATAGTAATAATGCTCTGTAGTAGCCGTTATGGGCCAATTGCGCGGTCTTTGCTTCCCATATTCGCTGGTTGGAACGAAACAAACATCAAGAACTCCAAATAATTCCAAAGCAACAACTCATGGAAGCGCTTCTTTGGGTTGTTGACCTGTTTTGCCCCCCCCCCTCCAAAGCAGGTTTGGGCTTCTGTTCCCTAAACAGCTTCCACCCAGCCGATGAACTGGGTTGGGATTGAACCCAAAAAGAGCAAAGTAACTCAACGAATCAAGTGACACCGCTCTTCTGCACTCTTCAGGTACCATTTTGGCGAACAAGCAAACCTGGCCAGTCTCGACTCTCTTGACGAGGCGTCTTAGGTCATACTCGTCCTGGAGCACAGCTTGCTGGTGCGAGTGTGCAATGAGGGAATGAACCCAGGGGTTCTCTTAAAGGAAATTGGGATGGTTTTTTTCGTGGTCATCCCATTCTCCGTTTCTCTTTCCCTACTTCGCACCAGCAAGACAGAGCAGATTCCGACACACATTGCCGTCGCCTCGATGGCCGAGCCACAGCTCGTGGACATACTGAATACCGTTGGCGGCACACCCGGCGAGCTTGTCGCCGAAGTGGGTGAATCGGCCGCTGACGTTCCGGGATGCAAAGAAATGAGTAGGGCACCTGCTTGGCATCCCTTCCCTTTCATTGATTGGAACCTGTAGCCTTCCCGAAGAAAAAAAACAAGGGCTGAGAGATGTGGAGATTCAGCTTGAAGCTTTGGGGTCGATAGGCCCAAATAGACTCTGGGGTGGTTTGGGGCAGCTTTCAGGCAGCTGTTGGGATACAACCTGGGTCTCTTTTTTCTGGCGGAAATCCGAACAGCAACCAACCTGCCAAAGGCTGGATGTGTTTTTTTGGGTACATGGTGTCCTAAAAAACCGCAAACAACAAACGTCCCTCCAAAAAAGCAGACCCAGGTTTGCGCTGGGCTCGACAAAAGCGGCGCAGCCTCTGCCCGTTACGCCCATTATTTTCGCACCTGGACAATGCCGTCAAAGTCGGGAGGCACTCCCACCGGCAGCAGCCTCGCCGAAAAGAAAAGAAAGCTGCGCAGCCTCCCTGGAGCCAAATGTGTATATGACCTTTCTTTAGGGCACCTGCGGCACCTCCCTAAGTGATTTGCCCAGGAAACCTTCACAAGTAGGTATGTGCTTATGACCCTGAGCTCGGAACATGAAGGCGACCCTTGGGCCGCCTTAGGTCCGTCCCTCCGCGCCGAAGTTCTGAGCTCGCTGCGTGATGTTGACACCAAACGGCCTCGATGGATCCGGCACAAGTGACCGGCGTGTGCAGTGGAGCGTTGCCTTTCGCTCGAACAAAGGGATCCGTTCGAGACACATCGCCATGATTTCTACCTGCAGTTTTTCAAACAGGGGCGGACGCAGATACCTGTGCAAATGATGTTTAAAACGGTGCCCAACAGTTCAGACCCATGTATAGTGCAACACGCCTGATCTTCACTTGATCAGGCGCGAACGGCACTTACGCAACACACTGGCACGAGCGTGTTGCACCTTGCTCATTGGGAGCGTGACCAAACACTGGCCCAATCAAAAGATGACCAGTGACAACTGAATGCATAGCAAAACTCGTCATACACAAGTCCCCCCCCCGGGCCTAGTGCTTGATTCTTATCAACACGGGGTTGAACCTTCAACATGTGATCTTCTTGCCCAAACAAATGATGAAATGCTTGGCGACGGACATGTCCGCCACTGCAAAAAACACACAGACATGTTCAAGGTAAAAGCCGACGTGCACCACAAACACCGAAGCGCCAACAAATCACCGCAAACTAAAACCATGACCGCCAAGTTCCATCACGCTTTGCAGCAAGGACGCATGCTACATCCAGAACGACGACAAGTAGCAAAAAAGCCGAGATGCAGAAAACCACCGCCTTTATGCAAAAACAAAACCTGCTTAGCCGATTTCAAGGTATCTGAATAGAGATGCCAAGCTGTGGCTGTGCAAGACATACCTGCCCAGCAGGCATGTCGATTTGGACAGGCGTCTTGTCTTTAAAAAAATGAGAGTTCTAGTGGCCTTCCAAAACCCACCTGTCAGCATCCCAGGATGCCAAAGAGAGCGATTTCAGTCTGGTGTCAAAAGCAAGCAGCTGGGGACCCAGATTCCAGCGGCGTCTGCCCTCGAGTTTGACGACTCCGCTGCAAGCTTTTCGATACTTACAGAGAGGACCGCTGACCTGGACGTAACCGGGCTCCTCCAAAAACCATCCTAGGGTCCAACCGACCCAATTTAGATGATAAACCCCTTTGGATAAACGAAGGCGGTTGCAGCTAAGCCCCATGGCCCATGCTTCTTTATGGCGGCAACTGAATCCAAGAAAACAAAAGGCTTCACTGGTCCGAATGCTCTCCGCTGGTGCAACCCCAACAACTTTGATCTTGGCCAACCCAGGACCCAAGCTAGTTGGATCATGACCGGTTCAATTTGACTGCTGGGTTCATAGAGTTCACTGTTCACTGCTTTTTATTGGCTGCCCATCTGCTGTCACCAGAAAGGGGAAAAAAAAACAAGCCGCAAGTAGCCATGCCTCAATACATGACCGGAGCTAAATCACCGAGGCCCAGACAATCTTCACAAGTCCAGAGCCAACCCCATCCACATGGAACCTCACATGGGGTCCTGGACCATGCTCCTACAAAGACCTCCTAGGCTCCTAGACTGAGATCCTGAGGCACCCTGACTTGTCGGTCAGTTGTCGGCACTTCCTCGCAAGCCGCCCTCTCATTGTGCGAAAAGACACCACTGCAACTCGAAAAACGCGGCATGTTTTTGTTTGAGGGACTGAGTCGAGCTTGGCGAAAAGGTTGCAAAGATGTTGTGTGGCTAACCAATTGACAACAGAAAAGCGCTCCAGAATCAGGAGTGCAAGTTTCGGGTTTTAATACAGGTAAAGTTGTCCTTTGTCAACGCCATGTGTTCATTCTGACGCAACTGGCCGGACACTGAACACTTGAGCACGGGATATCTAAATGGCTCTACACCCACTTGTTGAAACCTTGATTTAAGCTTGCTATGGGAACCCGCCAGGCAAACATGGAGTTAGAGAGTGCCGCTAAACAGTTCCGTCTTGGAACCTACTCGAATAAGCCGTGGATTCCTCACCGACCAGACCAGACCGGAAGGGTAGATATTGGGCTAAATGAAACTGAGGGAACCTGATTCATATCCTGCGTCTGTGCTTTGGTCATAAGGCGAAGGGGGGCACCCCTCACAAAGGCCACTGAAAACCCAAAGGCCCACAGGTCGATTTAACCGTGCAAGTGAGTCAGGGGTCAAGGAGCCCAGTGGCCACACGAATAAAGCGGCACCTCTTTTTCGGGGTTACGCGGGGTTTGGTCCATGTTTCCACTGAACAGGTTCCATTTTGGTACCGGTTTTTTGAGCCACGGCCAGTTGTAAAGATCCATCCCAATAGCTTGGTGGGGTTTATGCTTGGTTGCTGTTGACTCCTCTGCAAAAAGCTCATAACATTTTCTGAGTTTAGTGGAAAACCCAACTTGAGCTGGAAAAAAAAAACCGTATTAATACTCTTATCCCAGGATGTTTTCATTGCAAATCCAAGCGGCGGTATTCATAAGAGTGAGGTCCCCCAAAAACATGCCCCTTAAGTTTAAGTGTATGAGGTCTCAGGTGTGTACACCGCTGCAAATTGTTGCTGGCTGCTGCTGCTGGCTGCTGCTGCTGCTGCTGGCTGCTGCTGGCTGCTGCTGCTGCTGCTGCTGCTGGCTGCTGCTGGCTGCTGCTGCGGCTGCTGCTGCTGCGGCTGCTGCTGCTGGCTGCTGCTGCTGCTGCTGCTGCTGCTGCTGCTGCTGCTGGCTGCTGGCTGCTGCTGGCTGCTGCTGCTGCTGCTGCTGCTGCTGGCTGCTGCTGCTGCGGCTGCTGCTGCTGGCTGCTGCTGCTGCTGCTGCTGCTGCAACTCATTGCTGGGATCTGCAGAAACAAAGAAAATGCAAACTACAGAAATGGGCCACTCCTGATCCAAGGCATCTACGACTTGCGCGCGACTTGCGCGCGACTTGCGCGCGACTTGCGCGAAAATTTAGCAATCTTCCGGATTCTTTCGACCATGCGGATGATGATGATGATGATGATGAATCATCACTGCGTCACTTGCGCTTCACTTGCGCTTTACTTGCGCGGCCCCATGTTTGACTTGCGCGGCCGCTCCTGCAACACACTCCTGCCATTCAAATTACAAGCGGCGGTGCAGCTAATTTGATAGGTCCAAAAGACCTGGGATCATGCCTGACAGGGACACATACAACGGGTTTTTTTCCGACTCACTTGATTTCAACCAAAAAGCTAAAGGATCTCTTTTGAAATTCCACCACTACTCCACACCACCAACAAACTTGGTTGCTGTTGACCCTGCAAAAAGTCCAAAACTCTTTGTGGGCTGAATGGAAAACCCCAAAAAGGTTAAAGCCTAAAGATCCACCCCAAGAGCAGTCAAGCCACTAAACCCTAAAAGGCTAAAAAGCTAAGGGGATAACTGGGAGCCACCAAGAATTGGACACCTTTCTGGTGGTTTACCATTCCTAACTACTCCAAAGAACAAATCCCCAATGGAAAGAGATGGGTTCGATTTCGAGGGGCGCCCGCCTGATCTCGTCGCGCAGGGCTTCCTTGCCCCGGGGGGGCTGCGCTACGGTCAGCGCCGTGATGATCCTAACGGCTTCGGATTTCGAGCGCATTTTTTCAGCTAGGTCCTCCAATGATTCGTTAAAATAAGGGTACCGTTTTGTTTTCCCCCTTTTTTTCTGTGGTCTATATTAGTGGGGAACGTTTAGAATAAGGGTACCGATTCTTTTTTCGGTGGTCTATTTTAGGGGAACCCTCCCCCAAAAAAAGAGTGAGAAAGGGCACTACTGGGGGACCTAGCCAATCACTTCCCATGTGGACGGCCCAAAAACAAATAATGTTGACCCAGGATTAATCAACGCGTCCCAGGGGGCACCCCCCGAGTAATCAACCAGGGGTTTATTAATCCGGGGTTAACATTATGCAGGTTGTCAATATCGGGAATTATTACGGATATTTGGGAATGAACCAATAGATCCCTTTAAAGGAAACTCAAGGAGATGGTTCATAGCTCATTCCCTGCTGACAACCAGCAAGAAAAGTAAAACTGGTGGTTTGCCGCTAAAGAGGTCCAAACCCAAACTCACTTCTTGACTGGATGGCCCAACAAAAATCCCAAACTTGTTATGCCACAAAATGCTCTTCCCAAAAAGTCATAAAAGCAAAAGTCCTGGAACTCTGGGAGTTTGTCCATCCTACAAACTGATGGAAACCCGAATTTAACACTGGGCTAAACCACCAGTCCTAACTGGTGCAAGACTTCGTCCGTCCACAGTAGCACCTGTGGTGCCACATGAAATCAAGGTACTCTTCGCTGACGATTGCGCAAACGAGACAGGGCAGCCCAATCTACTCGCAGCTTCCGATCGGCTTCTTTGCGAGAGCTTGGGAAACCCATATTTAGAGCCCAGAATCGACCAGCAAAGCGGAAAGTTCACCCTCGCATTTGATTCCCATCAAGGATTCCCTTGTTCTCAGGGGAACCAGGTTGCTTCTAAGGACGGCCAGACTGGCACGAGAACACCATTAACCAATTTGGCACATCTCCGTCATCTTTTAACGCGCTCCAGGCTTTTTGGCATAAACCCATGCTTTAATGATGTGATGTCGGACCCCCGATTAGAGCGACATCCAATATGGCTTTGCCCATTCCGCCTAAGAACCAAAATGTTCGATTCGGATGCATCAGTTGCTGAAGCTGAATGCAATGTAATGTAATGTAATGTAATGTAATGTAATGTTCTGCAATGTAATGTAATGTCCGAGCACCACCCCTCAGCTGTGACAAGCTGAAGGAAATGCCACATCCACTGGTTGCCGTTCAAGTAATCAGCGGTCATTCTTATTTGTGACTAAGAAGTTGGTCCTTTCCCCCATGGCCATTTCATAAGAATTGCCTATGGGTAAAACTCGTCTTTTCCCAAGCAGCACCAACACAGAGCGGGGCTGGTTCCCAAACATGTTTGAAACATTTGTGCCATGGACAAAACATGGCTCCCTCATGTGAGTCATGGCCACGCTTGCCCTAATCCACATGGTCGCAAAGGCTGTCGCACACCTTGTCGAAAAGCCTATCCATTCAGAGGGTTGATCACCGCTAATAGGGCAGTTTTCATGCAGCGGGAAACCAAGCCCGAGATTGCCACATCGAGCCTTGGGAATAAGGACCTCACCCAATGCTCTGCATCTGGCCTTTTGTGTTGGGCTGTGTCTTTTTGAAGGAAGCCCCTTTTTGTGGATCCATTTGGGGGTCCACCCTCACAAACACGCCCCGTATGTATACCGAGGGTATGCAGTGCTCACGGAGGATTCGGCCCATTTCAGGAAGCATTCGGCACAATATGCGCGCTTTATGAGCAAGACGCCAAACGGCGAGCCGCACTCCACACAGGTGTTTGTTCACGCCTTTCGTCTGGTGTGGCCATTTCATGTTGCAAATCCGGAGGAACAACCACCAGGTTCTGCTTGAACGCGGGGGTCAACCCCGACACCCATAGAGTCTTGAACTAGTCCTCCATTTGCTTAAGCCACCTGGAAATATATATATATATATATATATGAGCAAGAGTCCAATAGTGATAGATTGCCCTTAAAGCCAACAAGATCAATTTGGCAGAATAGTCTTGAGCAAATGGAAGCTACCCTCCCACCAATGAACGTGGAAGCTGACTTTTCGGGGTCCTGTAAGGCAATTACTCCTTTTCAGGAGACCCCCTGTCAGGCTCCATGTGACCTGTTGGGAGGGTACATTCAGCAAAACATGCTTATACGCACATGGAAGCTGCATTCCCGCCAATTAACACGGATGATTCCCTCCAATAGTCATAGATTCCCTTTGACCAACAAGATAAATAACAATTCTTGAGCAATAGAAGCTGATATATTTTTTGCGGGAAGTCAGGGGCCACCGGTAAAGTCGGTCCCCAAACCGCCGGCGTTGGACACCGCAGCCGCCATCTCGGCGTAGCCCACATAATGCATCCTCGGGCGAGTTATTCGTCATGCGGGAAAATAATTAACAAAAAAACTAGCCCTGCCCCTGGTGGTAGGAAGGACCGGCAAAAATTGAATACATTGCGACCCATTTAGCTCTTCTGCGAAACTAACTTCTTCAAGCAACCCTAATTTTCGGGGTACGACCTTAAGGGTACAATTTTGCAGCTAAAAATGACAAACGCATGGGGTATCAACGTTTTGAAACATGGGTGTGTCTCAAAGTACGCGACCCCAGAAAACGTTGGTTTTCGTCGGGCTTCCCTTTCAAACAACCAAAAAATCGTACCCTGAAACAAATGCTTAAACAAATAAACAAATGCATGAATAAATCATTGACTGCGCATATACATATATATATACATATTTACATATACACGCATATGTACGAGTACGTTGCTCCTTGTCAAACCATCACCGAGGTTTGTGCAGGGGGCCTCAGCCACTTCCACTTTTCGCGGGTGCGGAGAACCACCAATTCGCTCGCCAGCCAAGGGGCACCTTGCTTTTTAAGTTTGAACATCCACCTTTCGGGTTGCCGTGACTGTGACTAAGAATTTTCTGGCCGTGGGTCAAGACGAATGGTACCATTTCAGGGTGCACCACCCATTTTATGTTATTTTAGTGGGGATTGGGCTGTTCAATGGGGGTACGGGATTTGGACCCACGGGCATCTCTTTTGATATGGATTTGCAATTTTAGGACCCGGACTTTGACATACTGTTGGTTTCGGGCAGGATCTGAGGTAGAGGCTCATGGATGCAACCAGGAATGCCTCTACCTCACATTCAACAAAACTGAGGACAACTGCATTCCTTGGGGCCAGGGTGGTCATCTTTCTGGTATTTGAGGGGCAAGCTTGGCGGCTGAACTCTGAGATCACAGGATCTATCCCTCCCTGCCCTCAAATAGTCCATGCCAATGGATTTACAAACAAGTTCACCTAAACGTGGCACGCGGCATCCGCGGGTGCATGGTCCATACCCCTTTCACATGGCCCTCGGATAAATAACCGCCCAAACAGGCTTGCTGACACACCCCTGTCCAAAAGGGCCATGAACTTCTAGAGGGTTGCTTTTTGAGCAGCAACCACTGGGACGACACAATGGCCACCTTTTTGTTGATACTTGGTTTTAAAGAAAACACAATCCCAAAAAGAAAAACAAACGGCACTGCCGGGTGTCTGCGGTTGTCCCACCTGGGTGACCCTTTCATCTGAACCCCAAAGTTCCGCACGCTGTCGGCTTTTTGTCCGCGAGAGCTCAGCGGAAGATGTTGCCGACAGCGTCACCTAAGCTCGTCAACTTGTCAGGGAGCCTATGAACCATCCACAGCTCGTGTGGGCATGTTTCAACGAAAACGCATTTGAATGGGTTTTGTCTAAAGGAGCTGAATGGTCGGCCAGAGGTGTGGTTTCCCATTTACCCTCTACAAGAAGGGCTTCAAATCCAAATCCAAGCTGGGTGGTGGACCGAATGTTGATGTCCAAAGAGTCCCAAGTATCCCAATTAAAGTCATTAACCTACTGGCACCCCCAAACAACTGCCTGCTTTTTCCCATGTCCAGAATCCCAGTAAGGCAACCAAAACGCAGGCAAGTTGGGACCCGGGTGGTGGAAACTTTGGCTTCTTAGACCTGAAGGCAGCTCCGTCCAGCAGATCACGCCGACAACATCCTGCAGGCAGGTCCTGGTAAGTGCCCAAGATTCATAGGGCTTGATCCGTTCCAAACACGCCTGCACTGAGTACAACAAATGATTCACTCCCCTGACCTGAATGAAAGACCTTGCAAGAAAGGAACCTTCGTGGATGTACCGGCTCGCAAATTTAGCCTCTGCCCCCGGCCCGATGAGCTCGCTACAAGTAGTGCAGATTTATGTTGAAAGAATGTGTGTAATGTGTGCTAGACGGAAACTTGAAAGGGTCAACTACACAAGCTCAGGCACACAGGCTTGAGCTTCTTTCAAATCTAGATAGCATTCAAGTCGTGGACCACTTGAAAACCCAGCAAAGGGTGATGTTCCAGCTTTGTGACGGACATGACGGAGAGCTATCCAAGGATGAGCCTAGGCTAACCCAAGGACTATGTGAGGCCGCACGAACCGGTCTGGTCTTGCTGCCAGGGCGCCGATGCCACTCATGGGGTTTGACTCGGAATCGCCATCTTCCTCATAGACCTTCTCTGCAATGTACTTGCCGTACCTCACATCAGGCCCCGAGTTGACACGCCTCAATCAATGTGTGAAAGACCGTGATTCTCATGGAAGCGACCTTTGGTCTGAGAAAATGGAGCCTGACCCTGGTGCACCTGAAAAATTCGCCAAACAATTTCCCAGTGACCACCTGTCTGAAAAGGACGGCCAAAAGCCGCTTGAAGTCGGGCAAGCACCCAACCAACACTTGACCATGGGGGTTCCCTGGGCTTTGCTGGCGCCCAGTGGCCCCGAGGACCCAAACATACAAGATGAACCTTCTGGTGATGACTCAAAATAGACCCGGAAAAAATACAAGGAGTGAATTACTAACGAAAAGAAACGGCAAAAAAAACACTTGATCTCAAAAACAGGCGTATGCTCCATTTCTTGGTGGGAAGGGCTATGACAAAGGAACACGCCTTCATGACGTACTCGGGCTAGCTCAGCTGATCTCTACACATACAGGAAACATTGCGGCTGTAAAAAAACCCGCTTGATCTGGTGATAAAAAGGGGGGTGGAGTCGTTTGATCTGGTGATAAACTGGGGGGTGGAGGTGCCAGAACCTCAAATTGCCCATGGCGGACGACACCTCCCTTTCTGTGACAACATTGGCCATGCTGGTCTTATAGCCTCACGTTGCCAACTCCCTGAAAGACAGCTACCCCACTGCCGCACAAGATTGACCATCGCCCCCCCCACCCTCTCCCCCGTCCAAATTCACGAACCCAAAAAGGGCTGGAGAGTCCCATCTTAACCTGGCACCAAACTTCAAACCCTGGGTCTCTGCCTAAGGCCCTCTGCGAAAGGGAACCGCCAACATCCCATGGCATGGGACATGTCATTGCGCGCGTTTTGGGCGAGAAGAAGAAGGACTCGCATTTTAACCAGCTGAAGAGAATACATTGATTTTCTCTAAAGTAGATGCGTGTCTCATTTTGTGTGGGTCCCCTTTAGGTGGGTTTAATTAAAAGGAAACCAAAAGGAAAACGACCCTTTTGCGGGTCCCCCCGAAAAAAAGATACAACAAATGGCCTTGTCCATGTATCCTTTAAGGAACCCAGTCAAAAGGTCGACGAATGCCCAAGGCACCATTGACCCGCGACGCCCAGGTCAAAGACCCAGCCTGAGCCGGACACCTCTTTCAGCTTGGTCATGGATCCGTTTCGCGTTTCCGAGAGCTCCAGAAAAGGAACACAACTCCTTTAGCTTCTGAGTTCCAGATTGGTCGCGTTTGTTTCCCATCCAATCCGAAAAAGGGGAATCCGAAAGCAAGGCTTCAGGCTTGAAAGCTGAGGGAGGTTGGTTGGATTCTTGGGCCTGGTCGGTTCAAGTGCAAGGGAACCCATTTGCTGGACCGAGGGCTATCTATGGGACCCGCTCCGTGGCTTGAAGCATCACATGTGGATGCCCATTTCTGTCAAGCCCACGGGGGCGTCCCTCTCGGTGAAAGGATGTTTACTGAAGAATCCCCACACCCAACTGATAAACACGAGTACCCACGCAAATCGCTATTTCCCTTGTGCCCACAAGCAAAATAGCAAGTCTAGTTGGATGCCTATTATATGCATACGTATATCCAGCTTTCCGAGCGACACTACACAATCACCGTACCCACTTGAGGTGGGATACTTCCAAGTGTCCGTTGGAGAAAAGGGGGGGAAGTGGTTTGGGGCCACTGGGAGGGAGGGAGGGAAGGGAGGGAGGGAGGGAAGGAAGGGGGGAAGGAAGGGGGGAAGGAAGCGGGCAGGAAGCGGGGAAGGAAGGGAAGGGAAGGAAGGGAAGGGGAGGGAAGGGGGAGGGGAGGGAAGGGGGAGGGGAGGGAAGGGGGAGGGGGAGGGGAGGGAAGGGGAGGGGAGAGAAGGTGCTGTAACGTGCTGCACAGGAAAATGTGGAGACCCCTGTAGCGGAAGTAGTTAAAATGTTACCATATTATAAAGCAGTAGTGGCGGTAGAAGAGCAAAAGTAGCATTAGTAGCAGTAGCAGCGGTAGTAGGAGTGGTGGTATTAGTGGTAGTTAGTGGCAGCAGTAGTCCTCGTTGTAGAAATGGTGCTAGCAAGTAGTAGCAGTAGAGCAGCAGCAAAGCAGCAGTGGAGCAGCAGTAGAGCAGCAGTAGAGCAGCAGTAGAGCGGCAGTAGAGCGGCAGTAGAGCAGCAGTAGAGCAGCAGTAGAGCAGCAGTAGAGCGGCAGTAGAGTAGTATAGTGGTGCGGGTTGTAAGCACCATCATGGAATTCACAGGCAGCCTCGGTCGCGCCTTTGCTCGCTGCCAGGCGCAGGTATAGTCGGTGCTTTCCGTCTGGCGCAACAGCACGACAGGCGCCCCTCACACATCAGGCGCACTTGAAGTGAGAAAGGCAAACCTGAGGAATTCCCCATATTCCGTCGAGGGGCTCTCAGAATTACTCTTTGGTTGAGTGGTCTGCTCTTGAGCCACTATTCTGAACGAAACTTTGGGAATGTTCATTTTAATGGACCCAGCACACTCCATAGGCCTAACAGTCAAATTGACCCCTTGAGGACAAAACGACACTTTCAGGGCGTGTCCACATTTTCAGGGCGTGTCCACATTTTGAGGGTGACTACACTCATGTTGCCGCAAAAGGGACACCAAGGGCAACCCTGCTCCGCAACTTCATTGAATTGGCCAGAACTGTCTGTTTATTATTTGTTGGTAGAAGCAAAAAGAGCCAAGCAAGGGCACCTATCTGCTATCCACTATTGCATGCCACTACGCCCTTGAAAAGCCTTCTTGGAGGTTTATCCTAAGCTTCTAGGCATATCTGGCAAACCGAGC